GTGGCTTCAATTCGCCCCTTCACTATTCTTTAATCATAGTCATTGGAAAGAAAGACTCATAACGAATTGGAAGAGAGGTCTGGGCACAAAGTCCATCTGCTGCTGGGGGTTATTTCTTCTTTAGCAAATTGACAACGTAATATTGTCTCAATTATTTCAACACCTGCAGAATACTAATAAAATCGGTTTATTTGTATCAAAATCAACGATTTACGATTTACTTCCGATATGAATTAATCCAATGACAATAGAATTGCCATGCAGAACTAAAATCATGATTATTATTTATTTCACTGTTACTTGTGCACGTTTTATTTGTTTATACGCAGAGCACGATATGTGTTGTAATAGCACTACAGCACTGTACATTGAATACACAAAATACTGCTAAATACAGTATATGTCAAGGTACTCAAAGTGTTTCGTTATCCCTAAAGTAAGTCAAATCCAGAATGAGTACTAAAAACCACCAGGTTAATAATTCTAACTATGTTCTGGTATTGAAAATATGCGTCTATATGAAATAATGTATTCCATTACGTACTGTATACGATATTTCATGCCTAATCGCATTTGACGGCTACCTACGTGTTTCACCATTAGAAGGTATTTAATGTGCCGTTTAATGTGCGCTACCGATTTTAACTGCAAACAAATTAAAGCGATTAAAGTTTTATGATTTCCCCAAAACTGTCTAGATTTTGGTACTGATTTTGAAAAATTCCAGTCAGACTAATAACAACATAACTAATATATGTAACAATTGGAATTACCTTAGAAAAGACAGACTCCTAAGTGTGAACTAAGATAACAGATCAGAAGCACTGACGAAAATAACTGCAGCTCACAGTTTCAGAAGCGTTTTGCATATTTGTTTGGTTCACGGGGATAAGATGTTACTGTATCTGGTACAAACAAATTGCGGTACAGACGCGTTGATAGAAACTCAAGCAAGTTCGGTCGTCTCACCTTGGCACCAAGAAGCAGTCCCTGCTCGTCCTAAAGCAGGGGTCTGTGCGTTGGTCACCGCAATTCAGCGCAGACAGCTCCAGGTCCCGCTATCCTCCGCAGTGAGAGCATCGCATCTCTCCCGCAAAACTTATTTGTCCCGATAGATCAGGGCGAGACGGGGGGAGAGAGGGAGGGAAGAGGACAGAAATGTTGATAGGTGGAAAAAGGTGAGCCCTCCCTCTGGCGGCCAGTATTTGATGCTGCAGCAGCTGCTGATGCTGATATTCAACAGTTCGCGTTTTGACTTGTAACTCAGACAACGATGACCGATGCGGTCCGTTCTTCCTCCACCAGGGACGACACAACCGATTATGTTAAAATCAACGAACAATAAAAACCTTTTTTGTCTGACGCTAAACCGGAGTCCCCTAACGAGAAACTCTTAATTAATTCCATGAACTCGTCAGTCAGTGCCGTGCTTGAATTGATATTGCAGATCCCTACATCCGATATCGGAAGATCCCCGATATCGGAATAGTAGGTGTATTATCCCCGGTACCCTAGCTAAATTCCCCTCAGATTCTAGACTATCTAATCCCTCTTACTTCGACTGTGAAGCAGCTTCTCACTCCTGGCGTGACGTGTGTCATTTTGTTTTATTTTGTTTAAATGAATTCATGAACCGATTCTGATATAAAAAGATCTGTTGAGTTCTTTAATGTAATTCCAAAGTGTATTGACCAGGGCAATAAGCAGAGTTGCAAATCTGTCATGGTCACAAATGTTTTAAGGTACTTATGATATCAGTATAAACATACAGTACTCCTTACAGAATAACATTTCATTCGCCACCAAGTACATTGTAGCTACGAAAAATATCAAATCGTCTATATAAGCTATCACAACCTGATATTAGGTAAGCTATTATCCCTTGCTGGCATAATAAATCTTAAATTTAGAAGCAAACCGTCATTGTGCTGCTACTCTGCTTCAGTGAGAAAAGGCATGATAGCTGAAAGTAGTAACAACACACGCACACACCGCACACGGTACTCCTACACTAGTTAATGGTGTTTGAAAATATAGCGCACAAAACCTAGGCTACATCAATACAGAGCACAGCTCTCTAGTCTTCACGCAGAGATCAATCCCGAGCTCATCATCTCCATAATTGTTTAAAGAACCTGGCTGTGCAGATTGTCCCCAGGAAATACTGTACTACTGCATAGACATTAAGAACCTAAGCACAAACTATATCTTGCCCGCAACAACTGTGGGACAGAATTAGCAGAAATACCACTTAGTGTATTTCCTCATCTCCAGGCGATTCAAAAAATTAAATATCGCCGTTAAAAGAAAACAGAAAACTAAAAACATATACATTTTTCGGTCTTTTCCCAAATTCTGACTTGAGGAGGAATACAGTATATAGCCTTATTCCGCCCGCGTCTCATTTTGCACTAGGTTAATAATTTTCCTCTACCCTGTCACTCTCTTCCTCACTGTTAGAGAACAAAGATAGACTATATTCATCAAGGTATGTACAGTCTTTCTCGAGAAACTGAGCTTCTACATAACCTAGTTGTTATTTATACGCGATTTAACCTTTAGGTATTCTCATCAGCGATATGAATTCAGTGTTCTTCATATTCTGAAAAGTATGAAATATCATGAATTACATTTGTAATTTACATTACAATTATAGTGGAATTACAAATCTTACTCTTCTGCAACAAACGTGTGTATGTAAACGCTTACTGCTAATGTAATTTGTATATACAGTACGATGTGAGGGTTTGCAAGGAGTATGCAATACAGAATGTGAATGAATGCAATACAGTACTAAAGTAAAGCAGCTCCATTGAGTAAAACTCGCCCCTTACCAGCACACACTTGCCTGTTGTTTGAGCTACACCACAATAAAATAGTATCTATATTCGTATTCGGTTTGTATCCCATGTCCATAAAGGCCAGCTCGTGGTGGCTATAGGCGGGAAGAGGCTCGTGAACAGCTACGAAGCACACAGATATTCACCTTGGCCACTTCGCTATGCACACTGAAAATATAACTGAACTAAATGGGTGTGTGGTTTCCCCCTTGTTAAAACGGCATTCCGATAACCGTTCTAGTTTGTTAAAGATCACAAATAAACTTCACAAGATTTGAACACTCTGTACAACAATTTAGCAAGTTAGAAGTCCCTTTAATTTTAACGTTAATCCTAATATTTCGTTAGCCAAAACTCAACGTCTGCGGCTTATATTTATGAAAACAAACATACGTAGTTCTTCCTTTCACCACCTGTGATATAAGGTGTAGGTGTTTTCAGGCTTACTATTTCTTAGGAATATTTTGTTGCCTTTAAACCAACGCTGAAAATCAAACGTTTTAATACATTTTACCATTATTTGCACACGAGCCTAACATTTGTTGTGGAAAATATAAATACAGTAGCAGATGACACGAGGTCGGGTCTTCTCTGAGGTGGTAATGCCCCTGGTGCTGAAATCCGTGAAGTCAAAGCGGGTTATTGTCCAGTTGAGGTGCTGTCTGTTAGGTCTTACAGAGTGACCTGTCTTTGTCCTGTTCCAAGTCAAGCAGAAGAAATAAGGTTCATATTTGTAGTCAAGTTTATGAGTTGTTTAATAACATTCCCTAACGTGGTATTAAATGGAGTTTACTTCATAATTTCGGGAAGAAGTTGAGATCCTTATTGTCGTTGATTGATAATGGGATATGTTGGTACTGTTCTGTGAAATGGTGTTTACCCGGATGTTATATTGTTTTTTTTTTTACTGGCTGGAGAGGGTTTGGCATTTTAGAGATTGTATGTATAGTGTTTCCCGAACTTTAATACGAGACTAAATTATGCTTCGTTCTTTGCCTGTAAGCGAAGATACTACACTTATCTTGCACGCTTCCCGCTTGCCTACGTACAGTACTATAAGTCTCGCACACACGCTTCCAAAAGCGTATCTCTCTCACCTCCCAGTCGTCACCCCTCTCAGTAGTGAGTGAGGATTAGTGAGGATGGGCTGCTATTCCCTCACACCAGGTAATTTGTATATTTCGTCTCTCCAACACATTCATTTCGATGTAACCGAACTAGTTGACGATACATTAAAACAATGAATTATTTCAAACTCGAAGACAACACATAGTCAGTTCTCAAGTGAAAACTGAGAGGTGGTAGAGTTACTGTAGGTCTCAGAATTTATTCATACAAAGAGTTGTAATGGAAAAGTCGTGTTTTAAAAGCTGTTCTCTTTGATTGTCCACAAGAAATGGAGGAGAAATCAAGTGCCCAAGCAGAGCCAAATTTGTTTGTAAGCTTTCTGGTGTCGCTGTATCCCTTTATTGTAATATCTACTGCTTTGTGTACCTCATAACCAGGTATGAACCTGCTATGGTTCAGCTAAATACCATTTGAAAATTCCATCTCTGATGTTAAAGGGGGAATATTGATTTTCACTTCCACTAAAGAAAATACAAATATCCACAGTTCAATCCTATTGATAGTGTTTCAAAGCAGACAGAGCTAGTGGCTTCACAGTTTGTTTATTTTCTTTCCACTCTGAGCTCATGGGTATTGAGTCGAGTAAATTATTTTCTCACTTGGCTGAAAGTGTGATTGAGCCCAGGTAAATAACCATTGATTATTTGAATAGACAATGAAGCCCACAGGACTGAAAGCTCCCCCTCTCCAGTCAACATCTGGTGAGCTCCGTCCTTTTGAACTTTACATAGGACCTACTGTCCTGGCACCCAAAATTGCTAAGTCCACTCTGAGCCACTACTTTGTGATGCCCCCAAATTGGAGTGATTTAGCAGTTAACAGTTAAGGAATTGAGATGAAATTGGATGTATTGTGATTCAGCTATACCTCAGCAGAGTTAGGGTTGGGTTCAGCCATCCAAGAGCCTGCAGTGTAGCTCCTCCTGCTGATTGGGCTGTCTGACCAATAATGCAGTCTGACCAGACAGCAATACTGAAGGACAAATCACTACCTTCAGCCCCTTTACTTGTGTGTCAGTTAAATTAGTGTGGCCCCCTAACTGAACCCTGTGGAACCCCTAACTTGAAGAGGAAAATAAATTTGAGTTTGACAGAATTGACAGAACATGGCTGTGTGGAAAGAGTGAGGGATGAATATCCAGGCATGACTCCTGCTCTCACAATATAGTTACTCATCTGCTTATATTTCAGAAGCTTTATATTTTTTTCCTTCAGAAGCAATTTGTCGGCCTGGAAGATTATATTATAACTGAAAACCGAAGCTCAAATGGGAGTCTATACTTAGTAACAACATGTGCCGCTATAATCAGAAAATGGAGTGAAGAAATGCAGAAAACACCAACTGACCCCATTTAAGTAACAGTCAGCTATTTAGACATTATTGTGTATTCTCAATACATGTGATCTGCATTGCTATCTAAAAATGGCAGCATATATTTAGGTGTGCATGTACACAATATACTCTTATATTGCTATCCTTATTAAAGAGTTATATCCAAAATTGCAGAAGCAATGTCAGTAAGAGTGCTTATTTGCTGACACCCGACTCCCAGTAAATGAAAGGTTTCTCTATTTGTACTAGATAGATTTTTCCTGCCTGGCTCTAATTGAATCCGTCAGGATTTTAAGAGGAATTCACAGAGAGAAGTAGCTGGATGCCAGAATTCATTTTGTGCTTGCTTCTCTTCAAATACTCCAGCCCCCAGTTTCTTCAGTACCAGAATCCAGTGAATTACCACCTCTTTGGCACTCCAGCTCATTTCTTTCCATAACGTTATCTGTTGTGCCTGAGTCCTCGGTCAGATCTACTTTTTTAGACTTTAAATTACACTTTTAAAAATAGAATTAATGCATCAGCCTCATTTGCAGCCTCAGCCTTTTACCGACAAAACATTCACAGAGTTCTTTATCCATCAGAGAGAGAGACTCTGTGCTGCCCTTTCCAAAGGAAAAAGGATAAAGCAGGGAAAAATTCAGACAGACAGAGACAGGGAAATGAGTTATGAGGAGATCTTGGCTGTTAGGTCTCCATTGACCGCAAACAAATAGCATCTATTTTCTGTTTCAATATATGATATCCATTCAGACAGGGCTCTTGTTTTATCTAGTTGGCACCTAAATAGCGC